TTTTTTTTTTTATGAAGACTGAGACTGGCTTGTACATCTTTTTCTGAGGGAATAAAGCATATATAAACAGATATTTTCAAATCAGCAATGAGAGAATGAGCAGTTGGCAGTTTGAATTATTTTACATTTCAGAATGTTGTGTGAGACCTTTTCTCATATGATTCTATTTGAACTGCGTACAAAAGAACTAACATATTTTTAGTTTCCTTATGCTATTTCTTTCAACTTGTTCCTTGCTTGTTTGTTATAATCAGTAGATAACAATTTGTTTTGTTGGGTTTTTTTTTTTGTTTGATGCTTTCAGATTTACCTATTTCTCTCGTGCTTCATTGGATTATATAGCAAAATCTGGAAAGCAGCCTGATGTGTTGCACATACACAATTGGGAAACTGCTATCGTCGGGCCACTCTTTTGGGATATTTTTGTTAAACAGGTGCAACTTGATCTGCTTTCTTTTCAGCTTAATGATTTATTTGATTTGGCGTGCAGATGTTTGCCTCATGACACTTGTCATTTCTCCATCTTTCTTTCTACGTGCATATTCATGAAAAGAAGCAAAGTATGTTGAAACTTCAAAGTTCCTACTGGCCTTTGAGTCAGATGGTATCTCCTGTCCATATAAGAATAGAGGTGGAGGATGAGGAAGTTGGCTGAATCTCTATTGTGTGCATGAGTGTACTTGCCTAGAAAGAAAGGTTCATGCATCTTAAAACAGTAATCTGCTACTGTTAATATTCAAGACATGATATAGGACATCTTGTTCAAGTTAACCATCAAGCAACTTGGAGTGTGAACGAGAGAGATAAAGATGAGACATGGCTATATCCTTTACTATTGTTGATTTGTATTACTGAGCTTGGATTTCATTGTTAAGCCTGAGAGATCCAGTGGACTTATGGACAGAATAGAGGTAGAACTAAGTGGAGTGTTTGGAATTTGCATAAAATAACCCCAGGGTTCAGACCATGGAACTTTGATTTCATTATACTATAATTTATTTCTGTGCACCTTCTCCTTTTCTTCAGGACGCGAAAGGCCAGGCATGGCTATAAGCATTCTTCTGACCTGGAATTTTTAAATGTCACCTTGTATTCCTGTTTTACTTTATCCCTTTTTCCAGTATTTATTGAAGTTGAAGAGGGAATGTAAACATTATTCTGTTAAAATCTGTGCCATCATAGCTTTTGTTTGTCATATCCACAGGGGCTTGGAGGTACCAGAGTATTGTTGACATGCCATGGCTTTGACTCACAAGTAGGTTCTTACATCTCTTCCATTCTGGCTTTACTGGTTCTGGCTGGGACCTTTTACTCTGTACATAATATTATGTCACTGTTATAATGTTTTAGTGCCTTGAGCAACCTGATAAGCTAGCACTGTGCGGACTTGATCCTGCTAGACTTCACCGTCCTGACCGTTTACAAGATCACACTATGACACATCTTGTCAATATTCTGAAGGTAATTTTGTCTATCAATTTTTCCCCTTCTGAATGTCTCTCGTTTTAGTAGAAAATTTCTTTAATAGCTATGTAGCTAAAACATTTTTCTATAGTTACTTGCAGTCTTGTCCTATCTTTTGCTCCTTTGCTTATACATGCTTGGTAAGTTATCTTCTTGGATCTTCACTTACAGAAATTAGCCACAAAAAGAATCATTAGATCTGCAAGCCAAACTAGCATGTGATTGGCTATCTTTCAAGGATTCATTTTGTTTCATCTTTATTATTAACTTTTTGCATTAAAGAAACCACTGAAAGTTGTTGCTTATTTGCTACATGTAAGTGAATGAGAATGTACCAAGTCTCATGATAATCAACAGAAAATAATTTACGAGATGATTATGATTTAATCTTGACATTAGCTACTAACAAAATTGCTGGTAATGTTCGTAGGTTCATTGAAGGAACCAATTGGACTCCTCTTATACAGGGAACTGGAGAAGATTTTCTTAAACATCTTACAAACTCCATTTATTGCATATTTGTAGGAACAAATTATCTCATTGATGGAGATAATGCCAGAGCCAAAGAACGAGAAGAAGCACGTTCTTGTTTAGTAAGATTACAGTTATGTAATTTATGTGATCTTAATGCATTTTATTGTGATTATGAGAAACATTTAGTACTAATTCCAAGTCAAGAATGGACTGGATACTTATTTCTGGCATAGCCTTGTATTTTTCCAATACATGTGTTCCTGCATAAGGAATTTTTTGAAGAAATGCTTCGATGTATCTAGTCGATTCTTGACTTGGAATCAGTAATAAATGTTTCTCATAATCACAGTAAAATGCATTAAAATCACATAAATTACATAATTGTAATCTTACAAAACGAGAACGTGCAGTAATCTTGACTATGTCGAAAAACCCCCATATTGATTATATATGATGGTTGATATGCAGTTTATGAGTGATACTGGGCTTGTTTTGACCTTGTTGTGCTTGTAAAAATAGCAACCCCCTTAGATGATTAAAGGGGAAGACATGCTTATCTCATAATCAGCTTTTACCCTTTTTTCAGAGACAGTCTGCCTGCTCTTTTTTAAATGCAAGTTCTTTACCAAACTCTTCTACTTTTAAAGGCCAAACGCTTCTACTATTAAAATTTGGACGAAATCTGCTTAATTTATAATACAATAAGGTCAAACAGAGCCACTATCTACTAGCTTAAACTTCTGGATTGGATGCTTTTATACACAGTACCAAAGCATGCCACTGTTTGGTGTATTTATATCAAAGCCAGCTATTGCTGTATCAGAGAAGAGAGATTCTTGATAGCTGGACTAAAATTGATTTAGTGATTTGCATTATTTACCTTTTGGACCTAGACATGAAAGGGGATCCTAGTGTGAGTAAATCCCTCTTCAGGGAAGTCTGGACCTTCTGATGTTTTATAACGTATAGTGGCCTCGCCAATTACGAACTTAAACTTTGGGTTGGATGCTTTAACACTGTGAATACTGAATATGGGTTTATTTGTAGTCTTTTTGCTGCATTCTGAACCATTTCTGTTCAATGGTAATAGAATACCTCTTAGATTGCAAATTTTCTCCTTTAGTTGCAAGAAGTAACTTCTTATTGTCATGTCAACTAATTAGCATGATGCTGAAGCGGTGAAGTTGACCAAGTTCCTTTTTTTTCAAATTCTGTGGATATTTAGAAATTGAGAAAAAAATATGAAATAAAAAAAAGATCTTTCATTATACCTTGATTTCACATGTTAATCTAATGTTAGGAAAGGTCAAGTTGCAAAATTTTAGACACTTGATAAATACCTGCTAATCTAAAACATATGAACTATCTCTCATGTATTGAAGTTCTAGCTTCTTTTTCCATCTTCCATTACCTGAATATTTTATCTGTTACTAATATGCAGGGTGGACTTGTGTACTCAAATAAAGTTGTTATGGTGCAATCTATTTATTCAAAAGAAAGGATCATTAATAGTTTCAGTCACGGATTAGAACCTACCTTAGCAATTCACAAGTAAGTTACATGGTGTTTCAGCTTTTAGATTCCATTCGTGCTGCAACTCATTAATTTGTTGGCAATGTTGTTATTTTAATACCTCACTGGGTAGCCTTTTTCAGAAACTTCCCGTAACAGGACATGTTTTTTTTTTTTCCTTTTTTTTTTGTGTGATAAAATAAATTTCCTGGTACATTCTTGGTTTTAGGGACAAGTTGCTTATTTCTCCTTGTGGGTTTGACAACTCCATCTGGGATCCTTCAAAGGACAAATTTCTTCCAAAAAATTATAGTGCAGATGACCTAAAGGGGAAATCCATTTGCAAAGTTGCATTGCAGCAGCAGCTGGGGTTATCCAAAAATTCATCTACTGTTCTTGTAAGTGTTGCATATAGGACCTTGAAATAATGATTTTGATGTGTCCTTCATGTTATGACATATCAAATGAATCTAAAATTTTAATTATGTTATCCGGCTGTGTTGGGAAAGGTACTGTCAAGAGAATCTG